TTTACAGATTATGTTTTGTTTCCTCAACTTTTAATACATGAATATTAATTGGTGTTGGAAATCCATCTAGTAATTATTGTCAAAACTTGTTACTCTTCACTTTTTTTTTTGTTAAAGTGAATATTTCACATAATTATGATCCACATGGTTTTTCTTGGTATTTATTCTCATGGCACTATTTTCCTCAAATTCTATTCCATGATATATCTTACTGTTTAAATTCCTCTCTCTTTCCACGAACTAAAACTTCACTCTTTGCCTTAAAAAAAAAAATCATGGCGGCACCTGGGTGGCTCAGTCAGTTAAGGGTCTGACTTTGGTTCAAGTCATGATCTCACAGTTTGAGGGTTCAAGCCCTGCATCGGGCTCTGCACTAACAGTGAGGAGCCTGCTTGGGATTCTCTCTCCCTCTCTCTCTCTGTCCTTTCTCTGCTCATGCTCTCTCTCAAAATAAATAAATAAATAAACTTAAAAAAATATGACTACCTCCTGATATGTTTTCAAAACTCTCTCAACAACTCTATAAAGTAGATATCATCTTCCTATTTTATAGAAACTGAGGTTTAACAAAATGAATTGATAAGTTTAATAAGGCAAATATACCATGTTTGCATATTTGGGTGGTTGAGAATAGGGCTGAGGGTTTAGAAATGCTCTAAATAGTCATATTTTTAGTAAATCTTTAGGCCCTTATTTATTTAGTTACTCTTATATGTTTCATATACCGGGTCCTAGAACCTCTCTTTTAAATTAGCATCTGGGGCACCTGGGTGGCTCAGTTGGTTAAGCGTCCGACCTGGGCTCAGGTCATGATCTCACAGTTCATGAGTTCAAGCCCCGTGTCAGGCTCTGTGCTGACAGCTCAGAGCATGGAGCCTGCTTCGGATTCTGTGTCTCCCTCTCTCTCTGCCTTTCCCCCCACTCATGCTCTGTCTCTCTCTGCCTCTCGAAAATAAAGAAATGTAATAAAAATTTTAAATTAGCATCTAATTGATCTTCTGAAAAAGAGTTTCTTATCGTCTCTCCTTTATGTAGATTTTGGCTTGTAAATCTGATCCTCAGAAGGAACCATTCATTTTCCCCACTACTTCCTGATCATGGTTTGCTGTTGGTATGTTCTCATATTTTGAGGAAAGCCGTTGACCTTGTACATTATCAGGATTCTTGCCTGATCTGACTCTTATTTCATCAAGTGGAAAAAAATATTTATTTGACAAAAAAAGTAAACACATAATGCTTTCTAAGGAGGAAGAACAAATCTCTTATATGGGAGTACTCATTAATCAATTTCAAAGTCAAATAGTTTAATTTGCCAAGGATTCTCTACTAAGATATTTCTCACTGCTGCAGGTGCCCAGAAAGACTGGAGTGAGATCATTCACCTGGGACTCACTTTTGGGATATGTCTACCTATCTCTCACCAGGTTCATGAAAGAACCTCTGAGTGGGAAGGTCACTGGCACTTCTCTTGGATGCCCAGGATATCTCTTGGATGCCTAAGGACATACTTTAAAAATATGTACCCATGCCACCATTCCTTAGAATCCCCAGTGTGAGAAGGATGCCCATACACCCGTGCTCCCCACCTCCTCTGGCCCCTACCATACCTGAATTTCCTGTACTACTAAACAGGCACACATCACCACTGTCCTGCAACTAAGGTGATGTAAAAGACCCAGGAAAAGTCTCAGGTTCAGAGACTAACATCTGGGGCATTAACTAAGAGTTCAAAAGCACTATTATTTACATCCCTAACCCAAAGGCCCAGTAATTCATTAGTTGTTACATGAAATGATTTTTCAGGATCATCTAGCTCTTTCACAAAAGCAATTTTGATTTCAGCAATTCCACTATGGTGCGTTTAATCTAAGATACCCAGCTATTATCAGATCATTGCCTGGCTTTTTCCTTTATGTTTCTGATCATGAAAAAGGGGGGAAACCTCATCTTTTCCAAACTTATCGGATCATGAAATGGGTGTATGTTTAGTTTGTGAATAGAGGAAATGATGCATTAAGACTGAAGGTGAGGGAATCACGTTAATGAGGCGAAATGTGCCTGAGTGTTTTAAAGGCTGGGAAGAACCTGGTGCTAGCTTCTCTTCTTCTTGAGCTTATTTTTAATAATAGCCCATGAATGTCTAGTCCAGCTACTTTTCTCAGGAGTCTTGGCACTTTACAACCAAACCATAATCCCCATGGAGTGAAGTCCTGCCTTATAAGCATCACCTGCACAGATAATTAAGATCTGTATATGTATCTGGGTCCCAGTGGTATCAAGGGGGAATTTTATAGTTAGATGAAAAATGGGTCCCTAATGAATTTTACTGTAAAATTTCCAAATTGGTAACCAATATGTTATCCCATTTATGCATTGGTTTAAAATAATGAGACCACTGAGTCATGCAAATGTTGATCAATCCCGGTGCTTGCCAAAGTAATTCAAACGCAACCGTGAATTACAAGTTATTGCCAATTACTGACATGCACAAATGAAGGTAGAAAACATTACCTTAAATGATTAAAATTTGATAAGAAACATTAAAATAAGATCTGAATTAATTATGTGCTATGATCAAGAACAACTACGAAGATTTACCTCATTCTGACAGTAGATAATATGAGCACCTTTGAACTTACATGATAAAGCTGTCCCTCTTCCTGACATGCAGTTTGTCACCACGGACAAATTTTCCCCTGGTGCCATAAGACTCCATGAGTGAGAAAAACTCAAAACATTTGAGTAGCGAATATAATCTGTAAAGAGCAGAAAAAAGCCTTCCATCCATCCCTGCCAAGTTCCCAGACTTAATTTGAAGATTGGAAATAAAATCAACCAGTAAAATTTTATCCCTGGAATTTCTATGACTCCCAAGTGGCTCCTTTTCTTTGAGAATTAAATGCTAGAAGTATGTACATTATGGTCCCAAATAAACTAACCCATATTATCTAAAACTGGCCATCATAATTCCTTTTACATAGCTGTACACAGAAGGAATAGTTTGCTCTATAAAACTGGCATGGAAAATTACAAACTATTGCTTATGTTTATAATCTTTGAAAAGAAGGGAAAATATCATTTTCTGAAACCCAGGTAGGGGACTCATTTTTATCACCTGCCAGAAGAAAAGGCATCTTTCATAAAATTTAGCACCTGCCTACAGAATTCTAAATCTGTGTTTACATGGGTTTAAAAACCCCAGGTAAACTGTTGGGACAGGATAGAAATCCCCTTAGACAGGATCTAAGGGGGGTTAACAAGGCCTGAGCCACACACCTCCTCTCTTTGTCATACGTGTGTCAGGTCAACTTCCCTCTGGCTCAGTTAGAAGTCCTCGAGCTGCAGCTTATATCACATTCACAGGGGAATGAATCACAACACAGCCTGGGGACCCCAATCCTAGAGTATCTGATTCAGTGGGTCTGTGGTGGGGCTCAGAATTTGCATTTCTAACACGTTCCCAGGTGATGCTGATGCCAGGGACCACGCTGGCAACTACCACTCTGGCTTGAATTCTCTAAGAAAGAATATTCTTTTTACATAAAAGTACTTCTATATTTAGGCTCCCATGCTTTGGGAGTGCTGTACATATCGAGCAGCCATTTAGACCACTTGTTAAAAAGTGTGGCCACTGTTGGGAAGTCACACAGGCCACCTCTGAAGTCCACTGTGGGGGCGGGTGGGCTATCCTCTCTCATAGGGCTCTGGTGGCTTCGCCCATGGTCCTTGTGTTGTGTTGCTTTTACGTGCACCAGGAAGATTTTGTTTTACTTAACCACTTGTGAGTTGGCTTTGCAATATGTTAAAAAAGTGCCCTTCTGTTTTTAGGGAAGCTGGGAGCCAAGAAACCATGTGGAGGCCTCTCCTAAAACCATATGTGGATGGGGTACACGGAGGCTGGTGTTGGATCAGGGCAGGAGCCGTCAGTCTCCAGAGCCAGCCAAATTCCAGTCAGTTCAAATTCCAACTTGGATACTTCCTAGTTGTCAAAGAATTGTGAAGGGAGGGAGGAACATTGACATGATTTAGGTTCTTTCTACTTTTGCACTGTGGATGATTCAGTGACTTGGGAATGAAAATCACAGAAATGGTAGAGTGGGCAGTAGGAATAACAGATTCATTCAGTTATCTGGGAGCAAGTGGTTGGTGCAGCTCTGCACAAGAACCGCAAGTGCCAGAAGCCAAGGACCACAGCTCTTCTGTATTAATTTAAAGGGCAAGGAGGGAAAGCAAGAATGAATTCCAGATTTTAGTTATAATAACTAACCTTTTATGTGCTGACTAATGGCCATTTTACAGAAAGAGAGGGAGAGAGAAAAAGAGAGACACAGACTAATATTCTACATTGTTATCAAGGGTTTTTTTTGTACCTTTAGATGAATAGTCAGTTACCTATCAATCAGATGCCTCAAAATCACTATTACATTAAAAAATCCATCTCAACTTACACTCTAATTGGAAAATTTTTAACTGCCACCATTTTTAAGGACAATACGTATCTAAGAAGTCTAGTCCTCCTCTTTCCAATATCGAAGACAAAAAACCAGTCAACACAAAGGAAGTATTTCCAAAGAAACACAGAACCTTTTGATTAATAAACTTGGAGGAAAAAAATAGCATCAAACAAAGAAAAAAATTTCAAAAGAGTTATTCCAAATGAAAACTAAACCAAGCCATAGAAAAAAATATGGATCCATGTTTCCATTTCAAACTATTTCTTAGCTTACTTTGTACATTTTCTTTAGCTCGCTCTTTAGAGAAACTATATATATAAAGCACTGCAGTGAGATTTGCCAGTTGGAAGGGTGTAAGCAGGAAAATGAGAGCTAATATGATTCTTGAATCGCGTTTGACCAAACCTTCAGGAAACTGAGTCATGCAACGGAAAGAAGGCAAAGCCCATGCTGAGACTGTTTGCTTAATCACACTGAGTCAGCATTCCGATACCACTGTGGGGTCTTTCAGTATTAAGCAATTCTATAAAAAGAGACTGTTCTTACCCTCATCCTTCCGTTTCTTATTGCTGGCCCATCTTCTGCCAGTCTCAACACGTACAAATCCATTTTGTATTCCCTTCCTCCACGAATGCTGAATCCAAACCCTTTGGCGCCCTTCTCCATGTCCACAGTGAAATAATCAAAATCCTGTAGAGTTGGCGAGAGAATGGAATAAACAGGTGTTTGATATCAGAGAAGCTTCTGTGGTCAGTCTCTCTGTTCTCCTTCTCCCTTACAGTTAATGTGTCCCAAATGACATGATATTGTGAGAACAAGTAATCTCACTTCACAATCTAGCAAAACGAGAGACAAAATTCCAAAAGTTCAAGCAGATCTGAATGCAGTTTCCTTGGTCATTAAAAGAACTACCGTGTAGCTTGATTACTTTGGTATCCATTGTTTACTTGGCAAACAAAATGACTGCATATAGGTCTGAGCGATACTATCACTCCTTTGTGTCTCCTCATTCACTGCTGTTGGGCACCATAAATAAATGTATCAGAGTCGTGTGTGTCTGTCTCTGTGTGTACATGTGTGTCTGTGTGTGCACATGTGTGTACATGTATCTCTGTGTGTACACGTGTGTATGTGTGTCTATATGTGTCTCTCTGTGTGTACGTGTGTGTCTGTGTGTACATTTGTATCTGTGTGTGTACATGTGTCTGCGTGTACATGTGTGTCTGTGTATACGTGTGTGTATGTGTGTGTACATGTGTGTCTCTGTGTACATATGTGTGTCTGTGTGTATCTATATGTATGTGTGTGCACGTGTGTGTCTATATGTGTGTCTCTGTGTTTACGTGTGTGTACATTTGTATCTCTGTGTGTACATGTGTCTGTGTGTACATGTGTATCTGTGTGTACACGTGTGTCTGTGTGTACATGTGTCTGTGTGTATGTGTGCATGTATGTCTGTGTGTACGTGTGTATATGCGTGTCTGTGTGTACATGTGTGTATGTGTGTGTACGTGCGTGTATACGTGTCTGTGTGTATGTGTGTACATGTGTGTCTATGTGTACGTTTGTACATGTGTGTCAATGTGTCTGTTTGTGTCTGCGTACATGTGTGTCTCTATGTGTACATGTGTGTCTGTGTGTGTACGTGTGTATCTGTGTGTGTCTGTATGTGTGTGTACATGTGTGTCTCTGTGTGTGTGTATCTGTGTGTAGGTGTGTGTGTATGTATGTGTGTCAATTATAGGTTTGCCCATTAGGAAAATGAAATTTAATGGGGTCCTGGGGGTACCTGGGGCTGCCTGTAGTCTGCCAGAGGGTACTGCCTGGTGTCAGGGGAGTGCTGCCTGTAGTCCAGCAGGGGAGGCTGCCTGTAGTCCAAGGGTGGGGGTTGCTGGTAGTCCCCTCCTGGGGGCTGCCTGTAGTCCAGCGGTGGCTGCCTGTAGTCTGTGAATGGAGGCTGTCGGATGTCTGGTTTCACATCTTGCCTTGCTTTCACTTCCGACCTGTAACTAAATAAATGGACATGGGATTTACTCTGAGGTCTCAGCATTCTAAGGAGATTAGAATGATCACATGACCTGTAGGCACATGCGGGCCACACTTCTTAGAGGTCCTTTTGCATGTTCAGGAATTTGAGAAAATCATAGATGATAAGCATTATTTTAAAATCCTTGACAAATGCCATATTGTCTACTTTTCATTTGGCTTCTTGAGAAATCAAGGTAAACATGATGGCCCAACCAGAACTTTGTGGAAAAGGCCTTATGGATATCCCTCTTTGACTTTGGCTATTTACAAACTTGTACAACTGTAGAAAATCTAGGGAGTTAAACTATACATCCCAAACTATACATCCCAAAATATCAGTTTGTCTCAACACCAGTAAACCAACTCTCTCAACCACTCTCTCTCGCCCACACACTATTCATTACTTTATGACAGCACAACCAAAGTAATCTCTAAATATAAATATATAATTAAAGGCAATAGTTTAACCTGCTAGGTTTGGTCTTTTTGAATATCTTACAGAGGTTAAAGGAGTGATAGCAAAGCATAATCATGAGCTGTAAGTCAAGGAGAAAGTCAGTGGGTCATTGCTAAGAGTAGAAACATATTACATAGTTTTAATACTAGACTATAACTATCAGATTAGTATCAGATGCTACTATCAGATATTACCACGGCCGTAAGATGAAAGGGAAGGCAAAAATGTGTATGTCCAACATTTGTCTCTTTCTTGTTTCTAGATGTTACTTACAGTAGAGCCTTCCACCCCATCCATGGGGGTTACATTTCTAGACCTCAGTGGTTGTCTAAAACTGCAGACAGTCCTGAACCCTATATACACTATGCTTTTTCCTATACCACAAATCTATGAGAAAGTTTAATTTATAAATTAGGCACAGTGAGAGATTAACCCAGCACTGGGCTCGATCTCACAACCGTGAGAACATGACCTAAGCCAAAATCAAGAGTGGGACACTTAACCAACTGAGTCACCCAGGAACCCCACTACTATTTTTAAAAATCACTCACCTGAACAATTGCCATTAGCGCAATCTAATATTTGGTGAGGATACACTAAAAATGTACAGTAATCAATGTATTTATTTGGAGTGTTTGAAAGGATGTTATTTTAATCAACACTTTGAGCAGGTCCCATTTGTTACTTAAATGGGAAGTAATGCAGAAATGACACATTCCTCTTGTGAACTGAATTTAGGCTTTGTTTCCTACCTCGGCAAGTTGTCCACTCACCTACTGGGATTGTGAATGCTGAGAACAGAATTATTTAAATATGCTTTGAATAAGATGCTTAACCACACAAATGAATGAATTAAACAAAAGAACTGAACTGGCTGCCATTCGTTGGCATGTGTTGATTCCTTCCTAGAAACTGTTTGGTAGATTAGATGTCAAGTTGCTTTGAGTTACAGCACAAGTCACTTTATTTTCGTGATCTGTGTGGTAGTGGTATGCGATATCCATTATGTGCTCCATTTCCAACCAGATGTGTCATGAGGTATAGCCAAAGAGGGTGAAATGTAAAGTCTCCCCAAAGATTACACAACAGCCTAGAATAGGAACCGTTAAAATGCAACAGCTGTCATCCAAGCCTACCTTCTGGCATTCAAACTGCATTTGAACCAGTGCTGTCTGTCAGGATTTTACATTGAACTGTACATTGAAGAGTCTTTAATGAGGAAAATATACTTAAGTTTTTATGAATGTTGCTAACTGTTCAGTGAATGATACAGCGGCTTGGGCAAAAACTATGTTGCTTTGAATTTGTGAAATACTTTAAGGAAAACTCAGGATTATTTAAAAAAAAATACAGCCTCTTTAAAATTCCTTCACTCATGAAAGAAAGTCATCAGTATAACTCTTTGTTGCTATTAATTCCACTATTAAAGAGCCTGTAGAGATAAAAACAACAACAACAACAACAACAACAACAACAAACAGATTTCTAGTGATAAAATCTAGCAGAATTTTATGGTATGAACAAGTTCCAGAACCAAGAAACAATGCCCATGTGGTACAGGTCTTGTAGTGGGCTTTTGCCTCATGTGGACCTTTTAAGAATTCCTTCCAGCTTAAACATCTAGGGTTCAAAGTATGTAAAAAAAGAAGTAAATTTCCAGTGTTTTTCTACTGACTTTGCTGTTTAAAATGCAGTCAAGGGGCACCTGGGTGGCTCAGTTGGTTAAGCATCCAACTTCGGCTCAGGTCATGATCTCACAGCTTATGGGTTTGAGCCCCCTGTTGGGCTTTGTGCTGACAGGTCAGAGCCTGGAGTCTGCTTAAGATTCTGTGTCTCCCTCTCTCTCTGCTGCTCCTCCCCTCATGCTTTGTCTCTCTATCTCTCTCTCTCTCTCAGAAATAAATAAGCATTAAAAAATTAAAAATAAGTAAATAAAATGCAGTCAAATATTAATTTCCCTTGCTGGGGAAGGTGAGCTCTGCTATTTATACTTAGTTTTGAAATATATTATATAATGGTTCTTTTGTTGTTTCCAATGAATGCTTCTCCTTGAATACTGTTTTGCTTATGTGCATATTAAAACGATTTCGTTTCCAGAGTATATATCAAAAGATTGTTAAGGGATAGAGACATAAGTAGAGGTGTGCAGGGTGTCAGTAGGAAGCCAAAGTGAAAGTAAATAAGACAGGATAAAATATTCAGTTATTTTAATTCATAAAATAAAAATGTGGAAGCAGATCGTCATTTAATTTTATCCCATTTTAACATGGAAACTGGCTCAGTTTGACATGGAGTTAGGTGGGCATTTCTTGTATAGATGAACCACTAGAAAATGCATACGGGGTAACTGGCATAAAAGCTGTCTTGGAGACATCTCTAGCCTGATCTAGAGAAAGACAAAGAGCTCTTGATACCATGACCATGTTTAAATGAAGCTAGGAAAATGATCTGGTATCTGTAAAATTATTAATCTCTTCATTCATATGTAAAAGAGCCACCCACTAACAATCAACAGTTAAGCCAGGAAACCCCAGTGCCAAGGAAGGGCTCTCTGAAAGCAGGCACTTGCCAGGCTTTTAATATTAGTGCAGCAAAGTTCACTGGGAAAATTTGTTGGTGATTTATAAAAATTTGAATCAGGTCAATTGGTTAATCCCAGAGTTGGGAAATATTTTATTCCGCGTAGTCAGGACAAAAAGACATTCCAAAGACTGTTGCTTCTCTGATCAGGGCCAACGAGTTCCAGTTGTGGGCTAGTAGTAGTTGAAGCATGATAGTGGCCTTGCCCAAATGTTATTCTCCCCACTGAATTATAACACGACAGGGATGAGATTACCCACCCCGAAGCCAGAAGCAAGAGCCCATGTCTGGGGGAGTCTGACCCTGGAAAGGTGAGATAGAACTGTGGCTGGGAGATTAATAGACGGAGGCAGAGCCATAAGAGGAGTCTGAGGCTGGCCCGGGAATTGCATGTGCTCAGCCCCTTCCTCCTGAGTCCGAAATGAATCCTGGGGAAAGCCAGTGTGATCTGGTAAAACAGCTCACGGCGAAAGCAAACACATCAGTGGCTTATTACTGAGATACCCAGGACTTACTCTTCTTACGGGTTGTCAAATTCTCACCCCCCTATCGTTTGCTTTATGGTCTTTAGTCTTTTTTCTTCCGTGGAATATATTAAAACCATAAACAGCTGAGGATAACAGACATTTACTTTTCTGTGAAAGCAAATGGGGGAACTCCTGAGAAGAACAGGGCTTTATGGAAATAGCACCTGTGGCACAGGGAAAATATTTGCTTTGCAACTGCGTGAGTGATGGACCTACAGAGTTCTGGGACTTGGACACTGAGTCTCACTTCATCTTTCCCAACATATGAGGCGGGAGCTAGGAAGCAGATGTTCAGAAAACATTAGAATTATGGAAAAGACCGGTGAGGGTTTTGTACACAGAGATGTTCCTGTGTGTTGTTCTGTTTTTCTCCTTCAAAAGAGGGAAAACAGCATGGGAACATGTCTTCATCTCTTTCCTTTATGGCTCAACCTAACCCAGGCTCCCTGTTACACACAAGTTCATTGTAAGAAGACAATGCTGTTTTTACATGACGTCCTTTTTTTCTGGAAGTTCAAAGTGGCTTATTCATATTAGTTTATGATATGGAATGGAAGAACCTCATTAGATCATGGGTAGGGGGATACAGGCAAAATGCAGTAAAAAATGCTAACGTTTATTACTGCTTACAAGTTTTGCCACACTTCCCTCTCCCCACACCACCATTGTTCTCTGAGCCACCACCTTCATTGATCCAAGGATATCAGCAGCCATCTCTAATTGCTTAATCTACATCCAACCCTCACCAGCTCCCAGTCAGCTCTCTGTGTGGCCCACTGGGCGGCCTTGAAAAGGAAATCCAGTGATGTCAGTCTTCAGCGTAAAACCTTCCAATGACTTGTCATCACACTGAAGCTCAAAATCTTTGGTGTGCCTGGGTGGTTCAGTCGGTTGAGCATCCAACTTCGGCCCGGGTCATGATCTTGTGTTTGTGGGTTCGAGCCCTGAGTCGGGCTCTGTGCTGACAGCTCAGAGCCTGGAGCCTGCTTGGATTCTGTGTCTCCCTCTCTCTCTGCCCCTCCCCTGCTTGCTCTCTGTGTCTCTTTATCTCTCAAAAAATAAAATAAAACATTTAAAAAAGTTTAAAAAAATATTTAACATGCTTACAGCCCCAAAGGTGGGTCCCTATCACTCTCATTGCTACATCTTGAACCATGCTCCCTGACCTCTTCCCTCACTACACTGACCTTATTTATTTCCATGCCTTTCAAGTTTGCATGCTCCCTCCTGCCAAAGGGTCTATATCTATGTTCTTCAGTTTGGAGTCTCTTCAACGTGGTCTTCATCTAGTTAATCCCTACTGATCATCTACTGATCATCTACCTACTAATTGCTCATCATTTCTTGAGGAAAGGTTCTCTTTTTGTGAAGAACAGACCCCTGTATTTGCTGATAAAACCACATGTGTGACACCCACAAGAATCTCTAAATCACAGAAAGGAGCACCTGGCAATTTCTACTTTATGAAACTTTCTCTTCGGTGTCCTGTTGTGTCCTGTCCCAAACTCTCCCTCTCCCCACCTCCCTCACCTCTCAGCATCAGAAAAACCAGGGGAAACTTTACCTATTTTCATGTCCTTGCAGCTGAAGTGGCTGAGGAGGAGCTGGTTGGGCAACAGGGCTGTTGGGAGTGGCTGGGCTCGGCTGGGCCAGAGGACTCTGCTGGGCCATGGGGCTCTGCTTCTCTGAGCTGGGTGCCGACGCTGGGCTGCTGAGCTCTGCAAAGGGGAGCCAAAGTGGCAGGTGCAGTCAGGTTGGCATCTGATAAAGGGCAAGAGGTGGCCAGAGGTGGTAACTCTTTGCCTCCTCAGATGACTCAAGGCTTCAGTTTTCTCAGTTTCTGTTAGGCTTTAAGACAGCAGGTTAAACTTATCAATTATCCAATCAAGTTCCAATACCATTCGCAGAATTAGTATTATTTCATGAATTACAAGTGTTGCTGAACAAAGTTAAACAGAGTCTCTTGTCATTTTCCTAGCAGAAAAGATTACAATAAAAAAAACCCTGTTAAAACAATGAAAAAATAATCCAGAGGAGTAAGCTCTAAAACATATTCTATTTTTCCAGTGCTGCCCACTGAGAGAAAACATTTGAGCTGCTACTTTTTGGTTGTAAAGACAAATCCTACCCGTATTCCCAAGTTTGGACAAGGAAGTAACCATAATAGAAATAAATGCTTTTCATAATATTCTCTCTAGTTCCTTGTTGGTTTTATTGCTCAATCACCCCCTGTACTCCATGGTTTTTCAGAAAGAAAAAGAACATTGGACAGAAGAATGTTCATAAAATTGTTCTTTGTTAACACAGCTTCTTGGATTTTCCTGTAATAGCATTACTGTCTCAACTGAAATTATCTGTATATGATGCAGTACAAATAAGACAGACATATTTCAGACTGGGGAAAACTGAAAAGCAAGTCAGATTTTTAGTGAGCAATCTTGCTTAGAGTTCATTTGAATATTTTACACATAATGATGTCTGCAAGTAACAGGTTAAAAACACCGCAGTCATTTTCTGTTCTGTTCTTTTTATTTGGTTGGGTGATAAAAGGGAGGTGATCTATTCTTTATTAAGCCATTCTTCCCCTTTCTTGTCCGGCAGTCCAGATTTTGAAAAATTCTTTCCACTTGCGGGGTTTCTCATCTTCAGCACTGTTGACATTTTGGGCAAGACAATTCTTTGCTGGGGGGGGGGGGGGGCTGTCCTGTGCATTGTTGGATGGCTGGCGGTATCCTTGCCCTCTACCCGCTAGATGCTGGTAGCATTCCCATCCTAATTGTGACAGTCAAAAACGTTGTCAGACCTTACTGAACATCCCCCAGAGGGACAAAATCACCTCAGTTGAGAACCACTGTTTTATATGGAAAGTCAGGTGACTGTTTAGTGCCTGCTTGCCAGGTAGCCCCAAGACGGAATCAGGAGACTGAGGAAAACAGAGGGGACCAAGGTGAGTAGACCTATCACTCTCCATGTGGTATTCTACAATCCACTCACAGGTGAGCTCTGGGGACTGAAATCTCGAGCATCATTCATGAGTCAGCAGCTACAAACCAGTAATGAACCAGTGTCTGGAAATGGTGACTTTATGGTGAACTGGTTCTTAGATTTGTGGCCCTCAAGGCATGGCAATAAGCTGTAACTCTCACTACTCTTCAAGCCTCAGGGGGGAGTCCTTATACAGAGAAATTCAAAAGATTAAGTGGGACTTTAAAATTCTTATCAGATGCAACGTTTTCTAAATGAGCTCTTTTTATACCACAAAACTTCCTCAAGCTTTTCAAAATCAATCTGACTTTGAAGAATCCTCCAGAGCTTAACTGTTAACATGAATACACTTTTTTTTTTCTGCTTCAGATTTGTAACTCTATAATCTCTGTTGAATGGGTTCTGGTTTAATATAAGCATAAAAACAGTACTCCCCAGACCACAGGGAATGATTGAATAACCCAGTGTCTTGAGATTCACACTATTAATCTATAATGTCACACAGCTTGATCTCTGAATGAAACTGGTACTAAGTAAACAGGATATGGGTTGCAAGAGAGAGTGGATTTCTGCAAAAGTAGAAATAGGAATCAACCTCAGGCGCTCTGGCACCACTATGATGGCAGCCAGGCTCAGGCACTCACCCTCCTGAGGGATGATGCGGAGGGTGACACTAAGACCAGCATCCTTGATGAGCTTCACAATGTCTGCATGAGGCATGTTGATGATGGACTGGCCGTTCACTGCTAAGATCCGGTCTCCCACTTTCAGTTTTGCACAGCGGTCTGCAGGACTCCCATCGATGATGCGGCCGATTTTATGGGGCACAGCTAAAACAATCCCCAACAGAATCAGATATCAGGAGTGTTCCCAGCACTGTTCTTTTTTTTTTTTTTTTTAATATTTTTATTTATTTTTGAGAAAGCACAAGTGGGGGAGGGATAGGAGGAGGGAGACAGAGGATCTGAAGTGGGCCTGGAGCTGACTGCGATGAGCCCCGATGTGGGGCTTGAACTCACCAATCGTGAGATCGTGACCTGAGCCAAAGTGGGAAGCTTCACCAACTGAGGCCCCTAGGCCCCCCCCCCCAGCACTGTTCTATCTTTGAGTCCAGCCCCACAGAAAAAAATGCGATGTCAGAATTCTTTTTTCCATCAGTAAATTTGCCTTTTGAAAACATAATCATGCCTATTAAGTGTGGTCCTGTGCATTCCACTGAGATTAGAATTTCTAAATTCAAGTTCTGTGCAATGACAGACCAATTCCAAACACATGGACCAGGGGTCCTCAAATTCTGGTGTATCATAATCACTCTAGGATTAAAAATACAGCTCTTTGGGCCTTAACCTGACCTTGTGCATCAAAATGTCCAGGAGCAGGTGAGAATCACAATTTTTTTTTTTTTTTTGAGAATCACAAATTTTTAAGAAGCTCCTCAAGACATTCTAATACACACAAAATTTTGAGAACCACACCATACATTATTGTGAGACCATACTGTAGAGATAATAATACAGTTTCAGAAGGATACAATAAATGTCAAGAATTCAATTTCTACCCTTGTCTATTTTACTGAGAGAAGAGATCAGGGAAGGAGAGAAATCTATATTAACATGGGCTGTCACAGCAGGTGAAGAAGCTATGCTCAACTTCCTATCATCCACTAATCTTCGGTTTCAAGGTTGATGCAGGTTTCAAATCTTACCTCTTCTTTCTGATTTAATTTATAAGTGGTGTTGATAATTTATTAAGTGATGCATAATATATTGCATCAAATCTAAGATGCCATTATGACAAACTTCTGTTTTAGGTATCATAAGAAAGAAGGAAAGAAAGAAAGAAAGAAAGAAAGAAAGAAAGAAAGAAAGAAAGAAGGAAAGAAACTCTGCCAATTAAACAATGACACTCCATTGACTGTAAGATGCTGTATAATTTTTTAGATATTTAAATTATGAAAACATGTATTAGAATTGATCAAATATGGCATATGTCTCTTTAAAACAATGAAAGCTTATGTATGTATGTATGTATGTATGTATGGAGAGCCAGGTGCATGAGGATAAAGATTTTTTAGCAGGTTGACTTCTATTCAATGTAAGTGTTTGAGTGCCTACCAGGATAACTATTTCTGGGGTCAGATACCACTGGCACACCCCTTCCTTCCCCAAGGAGGTTAGAGTCTAGAAACCTGTTCTTCTTTCTTTCACCTTTGTAGGTAGGGAACCCCAGCCAGGAAATCACCTGTCAATTACTCTGTGTTGTTTCTTTCCTCATGGAAGTCAGGTACTGATTTATCTGTGTAAGGAGGCAGAGACACTCCACCATTTGTTTTGCTTCAGGAGCGTCCGTTCCTTGAACTCTCAATCTTATGTATGTGTTACAGTGAAAGGCAGAACATCAGCTAATAACCACGTAAGGAAGGACAATCAGTGAGTTAATGAACCAGAGACTTGATCATATTTCCATTGTGACAGGTTATAGATAGCATATGAAAATACTGGCTGAGCCGATGTTTCTGAAGTACAACTCATGTTGAGTTTTTATTTACAGGCACTAATGGCTTTAATTAAGAACATCTTAAAGCATACTAAAGATCATCTTAGACTCTCAGGACAATGTACTTATTAAGCAGAAATGTAATAAGAACTCATTCATTTAGTTATTTAAAAAAAGAAGGCATTGCAAATTCTTTGGTCTTCTACCATAATTAGAGTGAACATTTGTTCCTGTTTTTGCCCCCTTTCATGTTCAATACTGTCCTTGAACAGTCCATACATGACACGGTCTCCCTGGTTTCCAATGTGTCTATTGCTATCCATCATGTGATCCTTGGAAAGTTACCTGACCTCTCTGAGTTTGTTTTTCAATAGTAAAATTGGGATAATAATATCCCTGACTTCACAGGATGGCTCTGAGAAACAAATGCATTGGCACATGTGAAGTGACTAGAACAGTGCCTGGTGTAAGAACGGATCTATAACTATTAACTTTTCTTTCATTCTCTTTATTACTATTATCTTTTTAATGTTTCTGATATCACTATTGATATGCACGTGTGCTTGTATATAGGTACCAGCTTGAATTCTTCCTACATGGGGTAAACCTGTATTACTGTTAAAACTGAAGAAATGTTTTGCTTATGACACAACAGTATCTCCTAAGTACCAACACTGGAAAACAGCTTCACTTGGGAAAAAGAAATGTGTTTCGGGGATTATACAGATGCTAGATGAGGCCAAACACCCTGTTTGTTTTTCTCTGGTTTTACAAAAAAGATGTTGTATGTCTGTGTAGGAAAATGCCAACTCATAAGTAAGACTTTATTATTTAAAGGGAAATTAGTATAATACAGATGTCCTCATTATCCGCATTGAGCCTTAAACACACACAATTACAACTACATTAAAATATATATAATTTAATCCTTAAGAAATCATGTGAGATACTGGATAGAATTACCATTACATGTTTAGAGTGGAAAAAACCCAGCTACAAAGTCATTAGCGATTGCCCAACTCAGAAAGTCCAAGCAAGATTTAGAATCCCAGTCTGCTGGATTCCAGAGGCTTTGCTCTTAACCACGGCGCTACACTGTATCTCTTGACTTTGTGGTTCCTTTCCTCCACCCAAGCACTTGTTTCATGGGCACCTGGTACTTTTATTTGGTGAGTGCAGCTTGCCTCTAATCAGGCAGTCACAAACACTTCACCAGTGGCCCTCATCCAGGGGAGAGTGGAAGGCAGAAACTCTGCTTGAAGCTGGTTCTTTGTGGCAGCTGTCTTTTGACAGGCAGGACATGAGGAAGAAGGGAGAGGAAAGGGGAGGAAGGAAGGCAAGGGGAAGGAGAGGAAGGGAGAGGAAAATTGGACAGCTCCTCAGATCCCTTTTGGTTGGGACTTCGCATCATGGTGTCATTCCTTTATTTGAAGTCATTTCTTTGGGTATTAGAAATACATTTCAAATGAAATTTAAAAATACACTTTAAAACATACAGCTGGTATTTGGATGATTTGCTGCTTTGAATTATTCATGCCTATACTCCCCTCCATTACCGTGCATCATTTAGAATCTCCTGGGCATAAAGCTCCAAATGTTTCAAAACATAGATTTCACACACACACACACACACACACACACACACACACACACTTTTATGAGCTCAATAACAATAAAAACAAAAAAATAAGTTATCATTTGTTAATTTCCAGGCACTGGGCTAAGCGCTTATTTTAAATCCTGACAGCAGCAGTGTGAAGTAGCTGTAAAATTATAATAATCATGTTTAGCTTATTGTTAAGCAAACAAAGAAATGTCAAAGCCAGGATTCAAACCTATGCCTGTGGCTTCAAACCTTAGGGTTACTCCCTCCTTTTTTTGATACATGCCAGGTTGGAAGCAATTTGAATTATGAGAACTGAGGGAATGGCTCAGCTTAGGAACAGCTTAGGAAAGCATGCTGCTTGAGATTTTGAGACGAAAGTTTCATTGTAAACAGATTTATTTGCTTATGATGATAACTCTTAGTTTCAAGGCCATTTTCACTTTACTGTGGCATACAGAATAACAACTAAACTAAAATAATAAAAACTAAAATGAAATAATGAAAACTGAAATAAATTCTATGGTAGCCACACAGAATGACTGAGTGGCTTACATAAAGTGGGAGTGAGTACACAATTTAAAAAGGTGTGCCCATAACTGGAAGCATCTGACATAGTTTTGTTAAAATTGTTTCTATTGGCATGTGCTTTAATAAAAACAGTGCTTGAAACTCTTGGCAGCTGAACACAGCTTCACTTTTTCTTCACCAGCAATTTCCCTACACATGTAAGTACATTGAATGTTGATGTGCAACAACTCACTGACAAGAGGTGGGCTCAGAGAGGATTCTCCCTGAAAACAAGATGCAGTTCCATTTTCTCAGTTAGGAAGTCTGCAGAACTAATGACCTAAGTGCTTTCTGTGCATTGCTAATGGAATTACAGAGCATGGAAGAGGCCATGACCTTGGTTTCTATTATTGGGATGAATGGTACTCGTTAATTCTCTGGGAATTGATGACTAAGGTAACTGCTGGAGCACAGTCCATTTAGACAGCATGCCTTCCAGACATCATCTGTCAGGCAGCAGCATAAATCAAGTCTTTGGACCAGTCTTCTTGACACAGTGTGCTTAGGATACACAGATATTTGGAAAAGTTGCAATATGTCATGAGGCTTTGAACATGCTAACATTTGGGAAGGAGACAATATATCACTACTTAGAAATTTCCCTTTAACTTCAAATCACATAAGCTATGGAAAAAGAAACCCATCTTTTTCCCCTTTATTTCTTTGTGGGGAAAACACCACTATATATTCATATTTTATATTATAAAATTTAGTATTTTCAATTTTATATTTTCCTGTACATGAATTAACCCTTTGATGCCTGCTCAAGCACAGCATCCTTGTTTCAGTAGGGCTATTCAGACACAGTTGGACTGGATCCTAAATTTGTTCTAAAGGCCTGGATTCTTTGGGTCTTTGGCCCCACTACTACAGGAGGCAATGGTCCTCCTCCCTTTTTGCTGTTTGGTTCTCTTCAGGGAGCTTTGTGTGGTCTATCCAGGCTCCTTCAGTCATTGGTTAACCAATGAACTCTTCTTGAGTTCTACCTTAGGTTCATTCCCATAAAGAAGATGACACAGTTGCCTGGATGACTTTTTTTTTTTTTTTTTTTTTTTTTTTTTTTTGCTTTGGCAATAGAATCTTCCTGAAATTTCTGGTGATGGATTCTTCCTGAAATTCTCAGCTGCACCTGAGGGAAGGGGTAGTAGTTCCCTCTCCCTC